CCCCTTCCTGGCTCTCTATTCCCGCTGAGAGACAAAGAAACTGAGAGACAAGGGTGACGTTCATGGTCCTGTGGCAGACGCACCCAAGGCTGAAACTAAATCACAGGATTAGAGAATTGCTTTCCTTACACCTTACCACAGTATTAGTGAAGTTCTATTTACCACAACTATTTTTAACTAACACATCATTTTCTTGTTTCAGTAAAAACAATTAGACGCCAGAAAAAAAGAACAGTCTGAAGAGAATGTAGACGCATTAAGAGCAGGACTGTTGGAATTACTAGACAAGAAATTTTAGAAAGCACTGTGGCTAAGATATTAAGAGGCTTAATAGAAAACATAGAAAATATGAAAGAATAGAATACTGTAAACTAGGAGAAAGATGAAATTTTAGAAAAAGAATAAAAAAGAAATACTACAAATCCAATACATTGTAACAGAATGAAGAAGGCCTTTTGTGCACTGAACACAGCCAGATAAAGAATCTGAGTTGGAAGCTATCGCAGCAGAAACGACTAAACCTGAAAAGCAGCTAACAAACAATGAAAAAGTAAAAGCAGAACAGAATACCTAAGAACAGTGGGACAATTACACAAGATGTTGGCTATACACAGGAATACCGGTCAGAAGAGAGACAGGGACAGAGCAACAGTTGAGGCAATAATGGCATTTCCTCCAAATTATTGAGAAGCACAAACCACAGATTCAGACATTTCACTAAACAACAAGGATAAAAATCAAAACAAACAAACAAAATATACAAAGGCGTATCATACTCAAAGTTCAGAAAAAATGTAGCTAGTGCTGTGGCATAGAGGATGAGGCATAGAGGATGCAGAGCTGGCATCCCATATGGGCACCAGTTCAAGACCCGGCTGCTCTGTGTAACTCTGACTTTCAAATAAACAAATAAATCCTTAAGAAAAAAGAAGTTCAGAAAATCAAAAATAAAGCAAAAATCATCAAAGAATCAGGAGTAAGAATCACACCTTACCCATAGAGTATAAAAGAAAAACTCACAAAAAAGAGAGAAAAACTCACATCATACAATTTATCAGAACTCAAGGAACCAAAAAGACAAGAGAGTGAATTACAGTGTTCAGCACCTGGCTCCTGGCTTCAGATTGGCGCAGCACCGGCCGTAGTGGCCATTTGGAGGGTGAACCAATGGAAGGAAGACCTTTCTGTCTCTCTCACTGTCTAACTCTATCTGTCAAATAAAGAAAGTAGTATTTCAATAGCTACAATATTAAATACCTGGGTATAAATATGACAAAATATATTAGGAATCTGTATGTTAAGAAGTACAAAATGTTAATGACACTATCAAAAGATACCTAAAAAAATGAAGAGGCATCCATAAATCATATATTCAAAGACTAAATATTATTTATCCATTACTTTTTCCCAAATCAAGCTACAGATTTAACACAGTCCTAATTAAAATTCGAGCATGGACTTACTGTAACAATAGAAAGCTCATCCTCGGTGTGGATATTCAATACAATGGTTAACACACCAGTTGAGACATCAGCATTTCATACCAGAGTACAAGGGTTCAAGTCCTGGCCCTGCTCCTGTCTCCAACTTCCTGTTAATGTTCAGGAGGCAGCAGGTGACTGATCTAGAATTTGGGTTGCTGCCACCCACACGGGAGAACTAGACTGTGTTGCTGGTTCCTGGTCATGTGGCAAGTAAACCAACAGATGTGAGCTCTGTCTGTCTCTCAAAAAAATAAGTAAACAAAAACTTTAAAAAGAAAAGCTAATTCTAAAATACACATGGGAAAATAAAAGAATCAGAATATTGAATCAATAGTGAAAGAGAGAGGCTGGCACTGTGGGCATAGCCAGTAAAGCTGCCAACTGCAATGTAGCATTCCATGTGGGTGCCGGTTCAAGTCCTGGCTATTCCATTTCCAATCCAGCTCTCTGCTATAGCCTGGAAAAGCAGTGGAAGATGGCTCAAGTCCTTGGGCCCCTGCACCCACGTGAGAACCCAGAGGAAGCTCCTGGCTCCTGACTTCAGATCAGCTCAACTCTGGCCATTCAGCCATTTGGGGAGTGAACCAGCGGATGGAGGACTTTCTCTCTCTCTGCCTCTCTGTAACTCTGCCTTTCAAATAATTGAATAAATCTTTATAATAAATTAGTAAAAATAAAAGCAAATGTAGAGGAATTACACTATTCAACTTCAAGCTATAGTATAGAGTTTAAGACAAGACAGCATAGTATTGATGAAAATATATAGATCAATTAAACAGATAAGCTCTTCTAGAAATAGACCCACTTAGAAATTATCAGTTCATATTTTAAATGTGCAAACATAAATCAATGGAAAAGTCAGTCTTTTCAATAAATATTGCTGGAATAAACTGTCAATCTACACCTTGCACTATATATACAAGTTAACATAAGATGTAAAATGAAACTGCTATATAATTTTAAACAAAAAAACTACAAGCAAAATGAAGATAAGATTCATATGAAATTAAAAGTCGTTATGACTTTGAGTTTTTAGGGGCCAACATTGTGGCATAGCAGATAAAGCTGGCTGCAACGCTGGCATCCCATATGGACATAGGTTTGAGTCCAGTCTGCTCCACTTCCAATCCAGCTCCCTACTAATGTGCCTGAGAAAAGCAACAGAATATGGCCCAAGAGTTTAGGCCTTTGCTATTCACATGGGAGACCCAAATGAAGGTCTGGGCTCCTGGCTTCAGCCTGGCCCAGCACTGGCAATTGAGGTCATCTAGGGAGTGAACTAGTGGATGAAAGATCTTTCTCTATAACTCTTTAAAATAAATAAATCAATCTTTTTTTCTTGAAAAGCGAGTTCTTAGATATAATACCAAAATCAATATTATATAAAAGAAAAAATACTGATGAATCAGATTATATCAAATGAAAACCACTTTCACTCTGCTAAGAATATCTTTTAGAAATTAAAAAGAGCAGGAGCCAGCGCTCTGGCTCACTTGGTTAATCCTCTGCCAGCGGCGTCAGCATCCCATATGGGCGCCGAGTTTTAGTCCCGGTTGCTACTCTTCCAGTCCAGCTCTCTGCTGTGGCCCGGGAGTGCAGTGGAGGATGGCCCAGATCCTTGGGCCCTGCACCCGCATGGGAGACCAGGAGAAGCACCTGGCTCCTGGCTTCAGATTGGGGCAGCGTGCCGGCCGCAGCAGCCATTTGGGGGGTGAACCGATGGAAGGAAGACCTTTCTCTCTGTCTCTCTCTCTCACTTTCTAACTCTGCCTGTCAAAAAAAAACAAAAAACAAAAAACAAAAAAAAACAAAAAAAAACACAAAAAACAAAAAACAAAACCTAATTAATTAATTAATTAAAAAGACCAGCTGCAGATAGGAAGAAAATATTTGTGGGGCAGGCATTTGACCTTGTAGTTAGCCCTCCCGTTGTGATGCTGTCAACTCATGCTGGAGTGACAGGGTTGGAGTTCTTACTCTGCTCCTGATTCCATTTCCTCCTAATGTACATTCTGGGAAGCAAGAGATGATGGCGCAAGTATTTAGATCTTTCCACTGACATGGGAGCCTGGTTTGAACTCCAGGCTCCTGGCTTTGGCCCACTCGCGCCTTGGACACTGAGGGTATTTGAGGAGTGAACCGGTGTATCAGAGTTTTCTCTGTCACACTCTGATTGTCTTTCTCTCTCCCCTTCTCAAATAAATTAAATTCAAAGACAAAGGACTACTATATGAACTCTCAAAAATGAACCTTACATAAACAACTCATTTTTAAAAAATCAGTTTTTTAAACAGGGATATTTCTCCAATGAAAATATATACATGACAAATAAGTATGTGAAAAGATGCTCAATGGTTATATTAAATAGTCATTATGGAAATACACAATAGCATCACACATCTATTAGAATATTTTACATAAAGAATAATGAGACTACTAAGTTCTGGAAAGGATGTCAAGAAATAGTGATTCTCAAACACAAAAGGTAGGTATATAACATAGCACAGACACTCTAGAAAGGAGTTTGGCAGGGTCTAATGATCTTAAACATGTCCTTAGCATCTAACCAACAAACCCACCGTAGGTCCTTAGCCTAGAGAAATGAAAACATTTTTTCTTACACAAAAACCTGTACTTGAATTTATTTAACAGCCTGAATCTATAATTGCCCCAAACTAAAACCATTCTATGTGTCCTTCAATGGATGAATGGAAAGACAAGCTCAGTAGTCCATCAACACAACAGACTAATCCACAGCAATCCAAAGGAAAGCTACAGACGCTTGCAACAACTTGAAAGAACCTCATATGATTTTTTTTTCTAAAAGAAATAGTCCAATCTTAAAGGTTACAATATTGTATAATTCCACGAAGACGATATTCCAGGTAAGGTAAAACTAGCATTATGAGAAGTTGCCAGGGTCGGAATACAAAGATGACATTATTAGGGTTCTTTGGCAGAGTTAAAATTGTTCTGAATCCTGACTGTGGACATAGTTACAAGACTCTTGCCAAATTAAAAACAACAACAACAACAATTCAGAGTTGTATGTAATGATAAAATATATTTTACCCTAGAAAAAACTTAAAATCAGAAATTTTTAAAAGCCTCCTGGGGGGAGCTGTGTAAACTTACTTTGGAAGAGAATTCTAGGGGTTTAAAAGCACCATCAAATGTTTAAATGCCCCTCCACTTAAGGACTACATGAAAACCTGATTCTTAAACAGAAGCAAATCAAGGAACCAGAGTCAATCAAGTAGCAGATATCAAAGCAACCCAAATCAGTTCTCTCCTTTAAAAAAACAAAGATGCACACGCTTCCAACTCCTCACCGCCTCCCCACAGGGGTAGGGTAGTGTAGAGAATATGAAAACTCACAGGAGAAGGAGTAAGGTGAGAGTCACACAAGAGTAATCTAGTCCCTGCTATGAATGAAGGATGCAATCCTAATACTGCCTCCAGTTCAGCTCTGTTCTTAAACACTACTTAGGATTGAAAACTGGCGTCTGTCAGTACCTCTTCAAGGGAGCCTGCAGAAATCCTGTGACCTGCAACATTGATTACGTCGTCAACTCGAGACATAACATACACATAGCCTTCTTCATCCATGTAACCAGCATCCATAGTGTCATAGTATCCCTGAAAAGAAGAATCAATGCTGTTTAAGTAAAATGCAGTGTTAGACAACTCAATCATTTAAACTTGGTAAAACACACAATGTGATAGAAATGTCTTTACTGCATACATTTGAATTTTTCATAGAGTATGAAATTAAGTTATTTTAAAAGTTTAATAGAATCACTTTGATGCTCTATAAGCCAGGAACAAGTTAAAATGTTCTTAGATATGTTCAAGTTAAGTGTGTGAACTTAGTGTTGTAAAGTTTATGAACCCAATCTCTTTTTTAATGAAGAAGTAAAAGCTCAATATTTCCAAAACACTTTGGTATTACAAGGTAATTCCTTGATAGATTTCTTCTTAAATTGTATTAATTTTAAAAGCTTCAAAATCTCCTATGAATAATTATAAAATATATCACTAGTTTGTTAACATGGATTAGGACTAGATTCAGCTTTAGTAAAATTTAATAGTATAAAATTTAATTTTTAATCAACTCAGAGTAGCACATCTTTGCTCTCCCAGAAAACATAATACAATGAAAATCAACAATAAGTAGTTGACAGAAATATCTTTTACTTTCCCAATGTTTTTGAGTTATCTTGATACCTATGTTTGTAAGCATGGATTCTAGTACAAATCCTGTTACTCAGTACAGACAGTATGTTCTTAATTGAATTAAAAATTGAACTCTGCCTTTTTTTTTTTTTTTTTTTTTACAGGCAGAGTTAGACAGTGAGAGAGAGAGACAGAGAGAAAGGTCTTCCTTTGCCGTTGGTTCACTCCCCAAATGGCCGCCATGGCCAGTGTGCTGCACAGATCCGAAGCCAGGAGCCAGGTGCTTCCTCCTGGTATCCAATGCAGGTGCAGGGCCCAAGCACTTGGGCCATCCTCCACTGCCTTCTCAGGCCACAGCAGAGAGCTGGACTGGAAGAGGAGCAACCGGGACAGAATCCAGCATCCCTACCAGGACTAGAACCCGGGGTGCTGGTGCCACAGGTAGAGGATAAGCCTAGTGAGCCGCGGCACCGGCCGAACTCTACCTTCTAAAACTTTTGTGAAACCTGCATAAAATAGTGTAATCTGTAGAATACAACAGCTTTTGGCACATCATGTGCCCTCAAATAATTTCCAGTTTTGGGAGCTGGTTCCATGGCACAGCAGGTTAAGCAGTCAGCATCTGAATACAAGTTCAAGTCCCAGCTACTGTGCTTCTGATCCAGCTTCCTGCTAATATATCTAGAAAGGCAGTGGATCTTGACTCAAGTACTTGGATCTCTCCCACCCACATGGGATAACAGAATGGAGTTCCTAGCTCTTGGCTTTGGCCTGGCCCAGACCTAGCTGCTGTGACTATCTGGAGAGTGAACCAGCAGGTGGATTTCTATCTCTTCTCTCTGCAGCTCTACCTTTTAAATAAATAAATAAACAAACTTCAAAAAATAAGAAGCAGCATTTACTGCAAGTACTATGGTTATCAATATTAATGGGGCCATCTAGAGTAGTTGTTAAGACCATGAACTCTGGAATCAGACTCTGTGAACTCTGGGTAGTTACTTGACCCTTCTGCGCTCAGACAGGAAGCCTGAAGTTGGGCAGGAAGACAGTTACATCGCATAGCTCAACCATATACTGGGGCTCTGAGGGAATGTTAGGTGTTCAAGGTAATCATGTCAGACCCATGTGCACACATGACTTTCCACTGGTAGGTTGTAATAAATCATGTTAGGACTCTGATGATTTGGCTATAGCCCATCAGGTAGATACACTGGGCTTACTGCAGTCAACTACGCTGACAAACCTTCCCTGCTATGGTCTCTCATGAGTTTGTTTAATCTTGGCTACTAAAGTCATTCAACTCAGATCTCCCAAACAAAGCTATTTTAGTATCATCTGTCTAGTTGATTAGGTTATCTTTAACTGATAAATAATAAAGATAGAATGCTAAATAGTTGGATTTAATTATAAGTAAAATTCCAATCACTCATTCCTTTTAATCTAATTGTGTGATGGGATACCAGTTTTTTCCTTTTAATCGTTTTGTTTTTTAAATGATTGCTTAACTTGTAATACTTATACATTTTATGGGGTACAGTTCAGTATTTCAACAGATATATGAATCATAAACCAATCCAGGCAACTAGCCTTTCCGCTTCCTTATGCTTTCTTTGTTCTGGGGGAGTACCAGATCCCCTCTTCCTATACTTTTACATCTTGGGAAAAGAAGAAGGAACAGAAGACAAGTGATTTGGGGATCTGGATGAGCATTATCAATGCAGTGTTACTATGAATACACCACACTTCATCTTGGAACAGAGCAACATAGGACAAAATGAGAAGGAGGAAGGCACTCTGTGATCTATGGCAGTGGGATGGGAATGGACATTAAGAACACCCTTTCTAGCCTTTACTTATATTTTAAAACTGAATTTTAAAATAGACAACTCAAGGTATAGTCAGGAAAAGGACAACAAAAGTAGATAAAGGGTTGCAAAAATACAACATGTGGGAAAACCAGATGTATTTTGCTCACATAACTAGTTGTAGAGGATGTTAATGTATCTCACTGACATTACGGAATTCTGATTACCTACTCTTAGTCTATACAGAGGAATCCAGTGAAAGAAACAAAGAATACTGAAAGCCTCCAAAGCATTCTGATCTCAGAAAAAATCCTTATACTGACTTATACTAAGGACTATATTATGTTCTAGGAAAAGTTGCCAAGAGAAAACGAGAAATTTCTATGTCCAGAGACAGATAATCCAGATAAAAATGACTTACTTAGGTAATTGTGGCTTGGGCATCCTTATCCCTGAGAGATGGAAACTGGTCCACATAACCTTTAAAAGTTGTTTTTTGATTCATGATTCTAGGAACTAGTTGTTCAATTTATTAGACAAGAATTATAGAAAAGCATATAAGAAGATTCTTTTCAAAGTATGTAAAAGTTCTTACAGGAAATTTTTCAAAGTACAAATGCTTGAATGCTTCTTGATTCTTCCAAAGTCCAGAAAAGGCCCCAGGAGGTAACGGCAACCTAATAAAGAAACAGAACATTTAAAATTATAATGAAAATGGTAATAAAAACAGATTCATTACAACTATTTTGCCAATGTGACAGATAATTATAATTCATATCTTACACTGAAATGTAATCCCTAAATACGCTGGACACATCACGTCCAATAGAGACTAAGTAATTTACCACAGAGAAGCAAAATTAGTGAAAAATGACTGTCGCTTCTGGAAAGTACATAAAAGGCACACAGTTGGCATTCAGATAGTTATTAGTAATAAAAATTGTTTCAATAAGGAACACATCTGCAAAAGAAAACCAAAACATGCATCACTGAGTTACTTAAGAGACGCATGCTTCCAGTATAGGAAAATAAATCCTTTCTTTTGAAGTACCAAGGCTCCAGCTGTCATCTTTGCCTGTCTACATAATGGAATGCTCTAATTAAGAATCCTGTGTACAATCGTATCTTCCCAATCCGTGTGCCTCTCTCTTCTGGGAATTCCCTCTCACTGCTCTTTGTTACTTTTCTTTTCTTTTTCTTCTTTTTTATTTTTTTTAAAGATTTATTTATTTGAAAGTCAGAGTTACACAGAGAGAGGAAAGGCAGGAAGAGAGAGAGAGAGAGAAAGGTCTTCCATCCAATGGTTTACTCCCCAGATGGCTGCAACAGCCAGAGCTGGGCAGATCAGGAGTCAGGAGTTTCTTCCAGGTCTCCCACATGAGTGTAGGGACCCAAGCACTTGGGCAAACTTCTGCTTTCCCAGGCCATAGCACAGAGCTGGATTGGAAGTGGAGTAGCCAGGACTAGAACTGGAGCTCATATGGGATGCTGATACTGCAGACCAGGGCTTTAACCTACTGTGTCACAGCACCAGGCCCTCCAGATTATTTTAACTAAATTTACCATGTTTATTGTTCTAAATCACCATGCACACAATTCCACTCTGGAAGTTTAATTTACTTAACATATTTACCAAGAGTATGAAAATTAGTTAATTATTAAGCATTAAAATAACATTTAAATATGGCAATACTAAAGATCAATTCAGTAGTTGCAATATATCACAGGTAAAGATGTAACAGGGGCATAAAGAAACAGCAGCAAATCAAATTCCTATATGGGCCAAAGGGGTAGGTAACACTAATGAGCAAAGTAGACTACATACAAAATAAATAGTAACACTTGATGGCAATGCATTCTGCTTGCAAACTATGCAAGGAATAAATTTTAATTGATCCCAAGAAATATACCCTTTCTGCCTTTCATGGTATCATTTTTGACAGACATATGGGAATTAAAGAGTATCTCTCTACTATACTATAAGAAAAATAAAACATAACTGTAATAAATAGCAACTGACATTAATGCTGATTTGGAGACAATACAGACTGGTGGGATTTGAAGCCAATTAGAATGCATATGACAGCCACAGGGGAATTTCTGTCTTATTTTCATCTGGTTCTGATATATAAGAATGCTGATCCAATATTTAAACACATCACTGACTATGCTAAGAATTAGGCATATCAAGACTAGAATTTTTATCATTTTATCTACCCCAAATCTAAGATTTTGGTCCGCCAGCATTCACATTCTGAATCATCAAGGAATAGACTTCTAAACACATGTAACAATGATGCAAGTGAATTATTAGAGTATTAATGCTACCTTTGTGGCCTGGTATCCACAGTATATGTAAACAGGACCAAAAATGTAGCAGTGTATGGTATAAGTGTTACCGGAGAATGGCAGAGTCCTTGTCTTTGCACAAGAAAGAATTCAGGTGTGAGACAGAGAGTAGTGGAAAGCAAATAGCAAGGTTTATTAGGTCAGGGACATCTGTGAGAACAGATGGGCACCTCTCCAGACAGAACCCGAGAGAGAGTGCCCAGTCGCTCAGACTAGGGGAGAGCGAGGTTACATGGTTGAGTGGAGAGTACACCCGGGCAGGCCAGGCGGGCAGCTCAGCAGAGGCAGAGGGCTGAGTGTCCAGTACAGTTGAGGCAGGGGGTTTTTAAGGGGATGGGTCTTGCCTTCCTGCTCCTTCTCTTCCTGGAACAAAGGACTTTTTGGATGTAAATACGAAAAATTCCTTTCTGAGTATTCCCCCTGAAGTTATCAGACAGGGGGAAGCCTGGCTGACATCAGCCTGCCTTAGAGGAAGGATGGTTATCTGGTAGAAGGGGTAGGGCATTTGAAGTGCAGATACTGGGCTGCACCTGAAAGGTTATCAGAATGACTTTGAGATGCATATGCTGGACCTAGGTGTCTCCTTAGGCCTTTGTCACACACATAAGTACATATCTTGCTTCCTACCTAATATAAGTATTACCAGAGAGAGAGAAAATCTTATACTTGGCCAAAGTCAGGTTTACAACATCTATTCTTAAAATAATATGCCCTGGTAACCTGTGCCTTTTCTTGATTCCAGAGGAAAATATGAAACTAATGATTAGTAACAGAGTACATTCTTATGTCAATCGAACCCTATACCTCACAAACTAAAAAAAAAAAAAAAAAGGAAGAAGGGCGGGAAGGAGGGAGAAAGGGAACATCGTTATGTTCTCAGACTTTGATCTATAAATCACAAATAATCTAGTAAAAATTAATTAAAATAAAAGAGATGCTGGCACTGTGGCATAGCAAGTTAAAGACGCTGGCTGCAGCACCAGCATCCTATATGGGCATCGGTTTGAGTTTCAGCTGTTCCACTGAAATAGCTCCCTGCCAATGTGCCTGGGAAAGCAGTGGAGGATGACCTAAGTCCCTAGGACCCTGCGCCTACATGAGAGACCCGGAAGAAACTCTGGGCTCCTGGCTTCAGATTGGCCCAGTTCCACTCTTTGTGACCATCTCGGAAGTGAACCAGAAGATGCAAGATCTCTCTTTCTTACTCTACCTTTCAATTCAGTAAGTAAGTCAAAAAAGAAACAAAGAGGAAGAAAGAGGAAGAGGAAGAGGGAGAGAGGGAGAGAGGGAGAGAGGGAGAGAGGGAGAGAGGGAGAGAGGGAGAGAGGGAGAGAGGGAGAGAGGGAGAGAGGGAGAGAGGGAGAGAGGGAGAGAGGGAGAGAGGGAGAGAAAGAGAAAGAGAAAGAGAAAGAGAAAGAGAAAGAGAAAGAGAAAGAGAAAGAGAAAGAGAAAGGAAGGGAGGGAGGGAGGGAGAGAAATAGGGGCCAGTATTATGCACAGCAAATAAAGCCACTGCTTATAACACTGGCATCCTGCATGGGCTCTGGTTGTTCCACTTCCAATTCAGCTCCATTATTGCACCTGCGAAAAGCAGTACAAGATAGCCTGAGTGTTTGGGACCCTGCACCAATAACAAAGACCTGTAAGAAGCTCCCGGTTCCTGGCTTTGGTTTGGTCTGGCCTTGGCCATTGCAGCCACTTAGGGAGTGAAATGCCAGATCAAAGATCTGTCTCTCCTGCTAACTCTGCCTTTCAGACAAAAAAAAAATCTTAAAAAAGTTAGAAATATAAAATTTCATATCTTTCATGTATTTATGAAATTAAAACCATCATTTGAGAGAAATATCATACACTCAGTTTGTTTCTTTTAGATTAGAGAAGTAACAGTCAATAAATATGACACAAGGAGGCAGGCAAATGCCAGTAAAGAATATCAGAAAAAGGCTAAGAAGGGGGAAGAAAACCAAAAGAAGAAAAAAGAAGAATGAACTGCAGAACATTAAACACAGAAAAGCAGGTGCTGGAATCAGCCTGATCCTCCTACAGGAACATTTATCAAAGAACAAAGAACCCCATATATGCAATATATGACTGACGTTTTATGCAGGAGGAAATATGAAAAGGGAAAAGAATCAGAAACTTTGACATACAGATTTCAATCTTGGACAAATTAATGCAGCTGAGAAGGACCAAGTACTAAGTAAGGTGCTTTCTGCTTGCTGCCTCACATTTCTAAGTCTTCCCATCCCCTTCATTTATTTCTTCATTGTGTTTCTTCCTTTCACTATCTGTATTCATGCAGTTGGCAAAGTTGCACTGATTTCTTAAGATGTGCAGGGTACAGCAAAGGGACTGAGAGAAACAGAGTGAATAATATACACACAACCACAAATAGTCCATGGTCAATCTGACCAGCAGTTGGGGAAGTAAGGGGTTGTGTACATATGCATTTATGTCTGACCACCATGAAAGAAGGGCTAAACTGTGAATGGAGCAAAGGACAAATTTTACACCATCCTACACATCATGAATAGGTGAGATGTTAATTTTATATGTTAACATGGATAGGTCATGATATCAAACTATTTTCTTCAAAAATTACTGTGAAGACATTTTTTAGATGAGACTATCATTTAAATCACTAGACTTGGAATAAAGGAGATTATCCTCCATAATGTGAATGTGCCTTACTCAGTTAGTGAAGGTCTACACAGATTCTAGAAAGACTGACCTCCTCCCTGTAGGAAGAGCAAGCTCTGTCTTAAAGTGCAACTATTCCCTGGGTCTGTGTCCCACCTGAGCGCACTGCAGAATTATAATTTTTACTTGCCAATCTCCACAATGGCAGGAGCCAATTCCGTGAAATAAACTTCCCTCTCTATAAATGCACACATATCTTTTGGGTTCTCTTTCTCTGGACAACTCTGCCTAGTACAATAGGTCTGTGATAATGCTGAGTTACCAAACTTTCTTTTCAAAAAAGGAAAAAGTTGTGATCAAATCTTTATTCCAGGAAGAACAGCCAAGGTAGTGTTATAAAATAGACAGAAGCCACAGTAAGAGAATGAAATTTAAATATGAGGGATGAAGAAGAGAGAACTAATGCCAATTCTAAATTTCCAGTCGAGATCAATGGAGATGCCAACACAAAAAGAACAAATGCAGTAAAATCCATGCATTTAAATGAAGTGACAAATTGCAGTTTGGAGAAGCAGAGAGGAGAGCGAGCACTGGGTTTGATATTCAACTTTAGGAACCTGTAGCATCATGAGTGCAGCAATCATACAATAAATGCATGCCTGAAAGCCAGAATGATGATGGGCCTGGG